TCATATAAATGCAATTATAAGAATATAGCGCTTATATTAATTCCATGTATGGATATATTACATACTGAATTTATATATAAATGTATATATACGGTGTCGAAAGTGTTAGGTATACATATAATTTATATTATAATGTATACATGTTACGGATTGATGCAATTTTTAAAAACTCCCGCACAACCATGTATGTCCGCGTAACCATAGGAACGCGGATCGGGCGCTAACGTGCAGTACTCCCGTCGCGATGACTGGCAATCGAGGCGGCACTGCGTTTTGGTTCCCCTCTTTACAATTTACGCATGCGCGGGTGCCTTTCTTCTTGATCGGTGATTATTCTGGTTGCAACCGAATGGCGTGGTCGTGTGTGCTTGTGTGAAGGGCTGTGTGAAGCATTGCTGAGAGAGTTACTCTCGACGAGGAGCCGTCTCTCGAGAAGAACTTCTAAGGTTTGCGATCGAGGAGGCTAGTTACATCCACGGGTCCCTGGTTCGAACCGATCTGACATAGGTGTCAATCGGCGCCCGTGGAATCTCGATTCGCATCGCGGGCTCCGCATTTGTACGTAAGTGTCGACGTACATTCGGTGCCGGCTGCGGGACATACCAACTTGACGTTGCGTATTATATCGGGATTGAGAATTCTCATATTTTGTAAGATTGTTCGAAAGTGTGAATGTGCCTTTCTTTATTTTAAGGGTGACTTACTCAAGTCATGGAAACTTGCAAAATTATTTCTTCCCACGGAAAGTTGCATATAGTTTCGGAGGACGAGACACAGCTTGGACGCTGTTGTCCGTAACGTCAGTGGATGACTTGCCAGAGATAAGGAGAAAACGCAGAAGTCTACGGTGATCCCTGCTGATCACCTGAGCTATCCACCAATCAACGAACGACAGAAGTGAATTCAGCCATTATTGCTTCAACAAAATATCTCACCAAAAACATCGCAGTTGATGGAACGAGAGGACACTCCTGACATTTTTAATAATTTGGTATAGCAGTTTTTTTAAATACTGGTTGCTTTCCATTTAATAACATAGAACACTTTTTTTTTTTGTGACGCAGGGGAAATGCGTTACGCATCCCCGACTCCCCCGGGGGAGGGAGACGGGGTATGTGGGGCTCTCTCCCCAGAACTGCT